ATTGAATTCAGGGGCACTCAACCACTGAGCCACATCCCCAGCCCTATTTTGTATTTTATGTAGAGACAGGGGCTCACTAAGTGCTCAGCGCCACCATACCTGGTTCAAATCCCCACCTCTTCACCTGAGCTCTTAACCTTGGGAGAGGTGTCAGGGCTGTGTCCACCTGGGTGAGATGAGAACAGTGGTAGGCCCCTCCTCAGAGAGCAGCTGTGAGGGCCAGGGGAGTCAGCGTCTGTGGAGTACATGCAGCAGCATCCAGCATATAATAGGTACTATGTAAATGTTTGCTATTGCTATTGTTGTCGATACATAACTTGCCTAATTCCTCATGACTAATGCACTGTGTTGCTGGTAGCAACCTAGCTTCTCAGTTTTCACAACCAAATGCCTCCAGACATTGACAATATTCCCTTTAGGAAAAAATTGCACCTGCTTGCTGGGCACAGTAGTGCATGCCTGTAATCCCAGTGGCTCAGGAGGCTGAGGAAGGAGGATTAGGAGTTCAAAGCCAGCTTCAGCAATTTAGCACAGCCCTAAGCAACTCAGTGAGACCCTGTCTCTAAATAAAATATAAAAAAGGGGTAGGGATATGGCTCAGTGGTTAAGCACCCCTCGGTTCAATACTCAGTACCAAAAAAAAAAAAAAAAAAAATTGTACCTGGTTAAGAACCACTGGTTTAGGAATGGACAGGTAATGTGACTCTGGTCACTGAGCCGTGTCATTTCATGCCACATTATTCTTCATGACTATGTAGTGTTCCATAGTGGAAAGAGCCCATTGTTTATATAACCAGTCTCTTGATGGAGCTTAATTTTTTTCAATGTTTACAATCATGAATATCTATGTGTTTACATAATTGTACAATATGATAAATGCAGGAGTGTGAATTTCCCAGCTGCTTGGACACTGAGGCAAGAAGGTCACTTGAACCTGGGAGCCCAGGTGTTGGACACCAGCCTGGGCAAAACAGCAAGACCCTGCTTTAAAAATATTAAAATATATGTGTGTGTAGATGTGAATTTAGATATAAATCCCCATACATTTCTGCACTTATGAGAATGAATTTATAGAGTAAATGCCTGGAAGTAGAATTTGCAGTTTATATTTCTTGTTTTCTTTTTTTTGGTCCTGGGGATTGAACCCAGGGTTGCTCTACCACTGAGCTCCATCCCCAGCCCTTTTTATTTCTTATTTTGAGACAAGGTCTTGCTGAGTTGCTTAGGGCCTCACTAAATTGCTGAGGCTGACCTTGAACTTGTGATCCTCCTGCCTCAGCCTCCTGAGTTGCTGGGATTTCAGGCATGTATCCTAGTCCTCACTGCATTGTTTGTATTTCAATAGATACCACCAATGTGCCTTCCAAAAAGTTCTCAAAAGTCAATGTTAGTTGACCCACTACATGTATGAATGCCTGTTTCCACAAATCTTCCCCCTAATTCTATGTGAAAGACCCTTTAAAAATATTTTTTGCACTTCAAACAGAAAAAAAATGGTTATCTATAGAAAGAAAAAACATTTTTTGATGTAGAGTAACATACTGTTTAATAAAGTTACCATAATTTATTTGTATGCTGATGTTGAACACTCAATACCTCTTTAGTGCATACTGAAGTTTTTTTAAAGTGAGTACAATTATTTTTCATAATTATGTCAATTCATTGGCAGATTTGAATTTGTGCATACGAGGTACTATGGATTGAACCCAAGGCCTCGCATATCATCAGCAAGCTCTCCATCACTGAGCTACATCGGAAGCCCTTAAAATTGATTTTTAATTGGCAAATAATACTTGTGTATATTTATAGGGTAAATGTGATATTTTGATTTAGGTTTACATTGTGGAAAGATTAAATCACACTCATTAACATAACTGTCACTACCAACTTCTCATTTTTTTGTGGTGAGAACCCATCCATTTGCCTATTTGGAAATATATATTCTTTGTTTTAGTTTTGCAGTTTGGTTTTGCAGAATGCTCTACCAGTGAGCTACATCCAGCCTGCCACCCCCTTTTTAAAAAATTTTTTATTTGTTATTTTTGAGACAGGGTCTTGATAAATTGTCCAGGCTGATCTTGAACTTGTATCTTTCAGTCTTAATCTTCTGAGTTGTTGGTACTACAGGCATGCACCACCATGTCCAGTGAAATATACATTTTTTTTGGGGGGGTATCAAGGATTGAACTCAGGGACACTCGACCACTGAGCCACATTCCCCAGCCCTATTTTGTATTTTATTAGAGACAGGGTCTCACTGAGTTGCTTAGCGCCTCACTATTGCTAAGGCTGGCTTTGAACTCCCAATCCTTCTGCCTTTGCCTCCTGAGCCATTGGGAATACAGGTGTGTGCCACCGACGGCACCAGGCCTATCTATTTATTTTTGTACAAAGAATTCCACAAAAAAGTCTTACCGTGGCCCTGCCTAATTTTAGTGTTTTTATTCAAAATACATATATCAAGTCTGATGACCTCCCTGCAGAATCAATGGAATAAAAACAAGAACTTGAATCTCAATGTGTAAAATATTCAGATTATTTCCCTCCAGTAGTGATCAATTTTAAATTTTGAAGTAAAAGTAAACAAAGGAAGATGAGAAATATTTCTCATCACTTTTCCTAAGAAGGGTGAACTTCTGTAGTTTGTGACCCGGGCATCTCTGTGGTAGGCCTTACTAAAACAAGGAGAGGGAAATACAACAAAATGCATATCTTAAACTTTTATTTCTCCACTATTTTGTTTTTATTGTTTGATATCTTTTTATTGGTGATGGATGTGTTTGGTTTGCAGCACACATTTCTGGTTTCAATAAAAATATAAGTACAACTGGGCACGGTGGCGCGTGCCTGTACTCCCAGTGGCTCGGGACGCTGAGGCAGGAGGATGGCAAGTTCCAAGCCAGCCTCAGCAACTTAGGGAGGCCCTAAGCAACTTAGCAAAACCCTGTCTCAAAATAAAAATAAAAAGGGCTGGGGACATGGCTCAGTGGTTACGCGCCTCTGGGTTCAATCCCCATTATCAAAAATAAATAAATAAATAAGAAATAAAAGACATAAATACAAAATGAAAACATAGTAGCCTGGGAAGATCCATGTAAACAGACATGGCTTATTTGAAAAATCTCACTTTTGTAGGTTTCTTTTCAAAATTAAAATGGAGGAAGAATTCCCAGCATCTTGTTACTGGGACAGAGGAAATAGAACAGGAAGGACCCCATGGGAGCCCGCCAAGCTGGGCGGGGCAGGGGTTGGGGGTGCCCTCTGGAAGTGAGGGTGAAGAGGACAGGCCCTGGTGCCCGCTGCATGCTGGTAACTAGCATCCTACCTGCCTTGCAACCCCAGCTCGGGAACACCTGCTGCTCCACACTGGGGTGAATCATTTCCTTCCTGGGCTCTGGGTGATCTATCACACAGGCGCCTTGTCTAGATTTTAACAACACTGTCAACAGAAAAGGTTCCTCATTCCAGAAATGCAAAACAAATTACATAAGAAATGTGTTCTTAAAGGAAAAAAAAAAAAAAAAAAACTCACCTAAAGGCATCATGATCCCTAGGAACAATTAATTAAGCTTGGGAACATAAATCTCCTTTTTAAAAATGCTTGTCAAAGAAATGAGGCGGTTTCTCTTCCCTTGCTGATTTACAGCAGTGGATTACCTTTCTGAAGGCAGGAACAGACGTGTGGGGAGCCTCCTAGGAGTGTGTAGACCCAGGAAGGAATAATGGGTGACAGGGACAGGCTGGCCGAGCCCAGGATGGCTTGTCCCACAGGAGTTTGGGGTTGCCAAATCCATACCCTGGTTGTCCTTGAGAAACCCGCAACTGTTTTTAATAGCTCGATATCCAAGTGAAATGACTTAGAGCAGACTCACCTTTGATCCATTGATCTACTTAGAAACTGCTGCAGACAGAGCCTGTGGCCCCAGAGATCATTAACCAATTAAAGAAGGAGGAAGAGAACCCTGTGAGTTAGAGAAATACAGGAAGTCTGAGGTTTGTCAGTCGTTGAAGCACTTGGTGTTGTCTTTTAAGAGCCCGAGCCTGAGAATTTTCTTTGGGATAACAAAAGAGTCACATTAGAAGGTAACAGAGGGGACAGGGCACTGCTTAGAGGCAGAGTCCTGCAGGGATCATCCCCAGCAAGGCACAAACCCCAGAGCCCAGCAAAGCCACATGCTGCTCAAACTCAAGAAGGGTGGCGCTATTTGGAAGCAGAAAAAGGTGACAGCCCTTGTTCCCCAGCTCCCTCAGGGTTCCTGACCCCACCTAAATATGTTTCTATTTCCGAGTCATAAGGCAGGGAAATGGGAGTCATTTTCCTCCCGAGTTCTGCACTCATTAAACAACGCATCTTTTAAGTTTTTTTTTTAATTAATAGACTTTTTGTTTGTTTGTTTGTTTAGAACTACTGTGGTCCATAGAAAATTAAAGGGTGTAGAAAATTCCCATATACCTCCTTCTTCACCCCCCACCCCCATGTACCTTTCCCCCTATTCTTAGCCTCTGACCTTGGGAGGCACATCTGATACACTCCATAGGCCAATATTTTGGGGTGGGGTGGGGCGGGGTACTGGGGATTGAACTCAGGGGCACTCGACCACTGAGCCCCACCCCCAGCCCTATCTTGTATTTTATTTAGAGACAGGGTCTCACTGAGCTGCTCAGCACCTTGCTTTTGCCTGAGACTGGCTTTGAACTCTCCATCCTCCTGTCTCAGCCTCCCCAGCCGCTGGGATTACAGGCGTGGGCCACCTCACCTGGCCCTAGATGACCCAATATCAATACATCGTTTTTAACTAAGGTCCTTGCCTACATGGTTTCAGTCTCGTGTTGTGCATTTCTGCAAGCTTTGGGAAATGTCCATATGACATGTATTCACCATGACAGCATCATAGGCGTAGCTTCACGGCCCTAGAAATCCCCTTTTCTGTTTTAGCAAGGTGCCATTCTAAGTTATAGTTTCAACATAACTGTTAATTTTTTTTAAAACCTGATTTTAGGAACAAAAGAAAGAGGATTCTCCCTTTTGGCAGAAACCTACAGTCACTTGAGCTGTAACTGGGATATCCCGGGGAAGAGGTCAGGTCCTGGCGGATGTATCAGCGCCCACGCAGGAAAACACCAAAATGTGTTTGCTAAATCAGGGGAGGAAGCCCCTCCCTCCGAGGACAGGTAAGACCTGGAAGGGGCGTGTCCAAGGATCACCTGCCGCCACCCAGTTTACAGTTCCACAACCTGATCACCTCATAAAGCTGCCCAAACCAAGCACTTAGAAAGCTCCTTTGGCTCTTGGACGGAGCATTGGTGGAAAGGAGTGTAGCTGAAACTAACCAAAGGAGGCCTTATGCTTCCAGAAAAATCTTAAGGAAAAGTGTTGAAAGCAACAGTCGGGCTGTGAGATCAAGCTCTAAAGGAGAGAGAGAGTAATCCCTAGGACTCAGGAGGCTGAGGCAGGAGGATCGAAAGTTCCAGACCAGCCTCTTTTTCCTGAGGGAGACCCCGCCTCAGAATAACAACATTTTATTTTTTTTCTTTTAACAGTTGGAGATATGATAGAGCACTTGCCAGGCATGCGTACCCTGCTTCAAAACCAGCATGAGGGCGTTGGGGGCAGGGGTTGAAGAGGTTCAACTATGAAGGTGTAAAGCCTTCGCCCACAAAACAGAGGTGCCAAAGGCAGTGCTAAAAGACAAGGATGACTTCGCATTTAGAGATGGTGACACTCTTGGGACATACATAGACTAAAATAAATGACTGCTGAAGCTGCCACCGATGCAGTTCTGAAAACTCTCAGCATGTACATAATCCCCAGGCCTCTCTTTTAGAATCCACTGGTATCTAATCTAATAATAATAGGAACTGAAAAGATAAAGCTCAGCGTGCTGCGTCCTGCGCCCTCCTGGAAGGTTCTCCTGGGGACTGTGCCCAGGTCTAGTGTGGAGGAGGCCTGGGAGCGAGGTCGAGCCTCTGCGGAGCCCGGTGTTCGGGAGCTGGACTGTGCGGCTCGGGGCAGAGAATGCAGAACATGAACTGTTCCACTTTCCAGCTAATATTTGAGCACCTGCTGTATGTGAAGTGTCGCTCAAGAATAAGACAAAGTCCTGGCCCTCCTGGAACCCGTGGTCTCGACAGAGAAGGCAGACGTCAGACTAAACGTGCGAATTTATGAGTTAGGCCACGGAGTCTGGGGAGCAGGGGAGGCGCCTGTGTGTGGAGGCAGTTGGGGTGAAGTGGCCCCCGGCCACCAAGGGTCTCTGGACAGCAGAACAAGCAGCCAAGAGAAAGGGACAAGGGCCCTGGGCCGAGTGCCCTGGGCTGGCAGGGCAGGGCAGGGCAGGGCGGTGGGCAGGGCTGGACCAGGAGGAAAGGGGCAGGACTAGATCCGCAAGGCTGGACCCGGTGAGTGCTTCCTGGGGAGTCTGCTGGGAAAACGGAAAGGCCCCTGGGGGGTCGCGGGGAGGGGCGACAGGCACCCGAGTGCGTGCCCTTTTCCCTCCCACCCGTTGCCATGGCCTCTGTTTTCAGCGTGGTGGCCCCATGAGGACAGCCAGGTGTACATCCCATAGCAGGGCCTTTCCTGATTGTCACCTCCCGTATCCAGCAGCTCTCTGGACGGCTGCCCTCTCGGACACCCAGACACCCGGAAGGTTCTCAAGCTCAGCGCCACCCACCAGGAGCACCACGGCCTCCCCCCCCCCCCAGCCCGCTCCTCCTCAGGCTTCCCTGTCCCAACACAGAAAATTCAGGATTTATTGGCTCAGCCTCAAAGCCTCGGTTGGCCTCGACTGCCTCCTCCTGTGTCCATTCCACAGCAAACCCCGCTGACTCCGCTTCAGAGGGGGCCCAGAACCCCGAGGGCCAGGCCACTGGCTTTTCTCTTTCCATATCTGTTCCCTTTTCCATTTGTTCTTTTTCATTCTGTGTCTCGGCTTCTCGCTGGTGCTGGAGAGGGAACCCCGGCCTCCAGCCAGGCAGACCCGCACTCTCCCTAAGACACGGCCAGCCTTCCTTTGCCTTCCCATGCACCCAGGCTGGCCTCAGGCTCCTGGCTCAGGCTGTCCTCCTGCTCCATCTTTTTTTTTTTTTTTTTTGGCAGGGGGGTACCAAAGATTGAACCCAGGAACACTTAACCACTGAGCCACATCCCAGCCCTTCTTGTATTCTAATTAGAGACAGGGTCTTGCCAAGTTGCTTAGGGCCTTGCTAAGTTGCTAAGGTTGGCCCTCCACTTGCAATCCTCCTGCCTCAGCCTCCTGAGCCACTGGGATTACAGACGTGTACCACTGTGCCCGGCTATCCTGCCTCATTTCTAAAGTAGGCGGGACTACAGGCACATGCCACCACAGCCAGCTTTGGTCTGTCCTTAAAATAGTTCCATCAGTGAGCAATGGTACATGCCTATAATACCAGTTTAGGAGGCAGAAGAGGGAGGATCATAAATTCAAGACCAGCCTCCACAATTTAGCAAGATCCTGTCTCAAAAGGGACAGTGATGGGTTCAATCCCCAATACCTACCAACCAATCAACCAATCAACAAATAAAATAAACAAAAAGAGCTTCAACTCCCAGCTAGACTACATCACCTGTCACTTCAAAACTGCCATGGCTGCCATCTCCCTGGGCTAGGAGCCAAAGCTCTTACCATACATGCTGCTTTTCTGACCCTCCCTGCTTTCTGGCCTTGCCACTCTGTACTGATCACAATGAGCTCCCTTATCTTGCCAGGAACACAGCAGACATGATCCTACCACAGGACCTTTGCGTCTGCTATGATATCTGCTTAGATGTACCCCCAGATAAATGCAAGACCTGCTCCGTTACCTATTCCAGGTGTCTCTTCAACTGATACCTGATGGCAGGAGTCAGCCAACATTTTCTGCTAAGAGCCAGAATGTAAATCTTTTAGGCATTGTGGGCCACCAGGTCTCTGCTGCAACTACTCAGCTCCACTGCTGTCAGGGAGGAGCAACCACAGACAATACTTAAGCAACAACAAACACGCTGTGTTCCCATAAAACTCAACAAACACTGTAGTGGGACTTCACGTGACGTTCAGGTGTCATCCACCATTCTTCCTTTGACTTTTCCCCAACCGTTTTAAAAGGTAGGGCTAGGAGTGAGGCTCAGGGGAACAGCGCTCACCCAGCATCCCCATGGTCCTGGGTTCAGTTCCCAGCAGCACAGAAAATATATCAATAAAATAAAACAGAAATGTAAAAATCGGCTGGGCACGGTGACACACGCCTGTAATCCCAATTACTCAGGAGGCCAAGGCAGGAGGATTGCAAATTCAAGGCCAGCCTGCCCAATTTAGAGACCTTGTTTCAAAAAAAAAAAAAAATAGGTAAATAAATAAATGAATAAAGGTAGCTGCTGGGTAGGTTCTGCGGCACTTGCCTGCCATGTGCAAAGCCCTGGGTGTCTTTCCCAGAACCACACACACACACACACACACACACACCAAATCCAGGTCCAACGAAGCAGGCCTCCATGTGACCTTGGGCAAGTTACCCAGTGTGGAAATGGGTTCCCTGAGCTAATAGGAGTGAGTCTCTCCACACAGTTTGACACAGTGTCTGCAGTAAATAGCAGCCACAGCTTCTTTTTCATTAGAAAGGCATCTTTTCTACCAAAAAAAAAAAAAGTAATAAAATATAGATCAGCAAAAACTAACATCAGTCAGACACAGTGGTGCATTTCTATAATCCCAGCAACCCAGGAGGCTGAGGCAAGAGGATCGCAAGTTCAAGGCCAGCCTCAGCAACTTGTCGAGGCCCTAAGCAACTTAACAAGACTCTGTCTCCAAATAAACAATAAACAGGGCTGGGGATGCAGCTCAGTGGTTAGACCTACCTGGGTCCAATCCCCGGTACCAAAATAAAAACAATAATAATAAAACATTTAAAAATAGCATTGTTCCATTTTCCCCAAATAATTAAAAGTGCTCTACCACTGAGCCCCAGCCCTAGCTGGAGCACTTTAAGAATAAATTTAAAGAATAAATTTATTTATTCTTAACAAATAAATTTTTAACAAATCCAGGAAACCATCTGGGAAATTTAAACGCTGGCAATATCATTGATGACATTCAAGACCCACTGCTTATTTTGTGAGGTGTGACAGGATAGACCTCCCCCCCACCTCCCCCGCCACTGGGGATTGAATCCAGGGAAACTTTTACCACTCAGTTACATCCCCAGCCCTTTTAATTTCTTATTTTGAAACAAGGTCTTACTAACTTGCTGAGGCTGGCTTCAAACTTGAGATCTTCCTGCCTCAGTCTCTTCAGTGGCTGGAATTACAGGTTTGTGCCACCAGCCCTGACTGTGAGTATGCTTTTAAAAGGAGTCCTTAAACTGGGTGCAGTGGCACAGTGGGGCACGCCTATGATCCCAGGATCTTGAGGCAGGAGGATCACAAATTCAAGGCCATTAGCAAGGCCTGTAGCAACGGAGACCATCTCAAAATAACAAAATAAAAAGGACTGGGGAGGTAGCTCAATGGAATAGCACCCCTGGGTTCAATCCAGGTAACAACAACAACAACAAAGTCTCTAGTATCTTTTAGAGATACTAAAGTGTCAGTGAATAAAATTTTATGGTATCTAGAAATTTCATCTAGACGATAGTCACCAGTATTCCCAGCCACTCGGGAGGCTGAGGCAGGAGGATCACAAGTTCAAAGTCAGCCTCAGAAATTTAATGAGGCCTTACGCAATTTAGCAAGACTGTTTCAAAATAAAAATAAAAAGGGCTAGGGATGCTGTAGCTCAATGGTTAAGTGTCCCAGGCTCAATCTCCAACACAAAATATACATATGTATATATATCGTTTCCTCTCTATATATACTCTCTCTCTCTCTCTCTCTCTATATATATATATATATAGATACAAAGATAGATAGATATAGATATATGTGTATATCTATATAGATATAGATCTATACAGAGAGAGAGAGAGAGAGAGAGAACGCGTACACAGGAGTAGGGTTCACACTACGCCAGGGGATCATGAGTTGACCATTATTAAACTGTACGATGGGTAGGTGCAGTGGTTTGAATGGCCCCTCCCCAGTAGCACTGTTGGAAACCTGACCCCATGCTGCAGTGTTGGAGGCGTCTGGGTCTTGAGGGCTCCCCCTCCTGAATGGGTTCCTGCCCATCTCGAGGGCTGGCAGCAGCTGGCACTATAGTAGTGCACACTTATAATCCTACCACTGAGCTACATTCTCAGCTCTTTTTATTTTTGTCTTGAAACAGAATCTTGCTAAGTACACAGACTGACCTCAAACTTGCGATCCTCCTGCCTCAGCCTCCTGAGTTGTTGGGATTACAGGTGTGGGCCACTGTCCCCAGCTAATAACCTATGTTCTTTATAAGTTCCCCCGTCTCAGATATTCTGTTACAGCATAATAAAATGGACTGAGACAGTGGATGGAGGTTTATTCTGCTCTTCTCTCTACTTTTGTATTTGCTTAAAAGTGTTTATAATTAAAAAAAAAAAAAGGCGGGGTGGGGAAGCTGGGGGTGTGGCTCAGCGGTAGAGCACTTGCCTAGCACTTGCCAGGACCTAGGTTCAATCCTCAGCACCACACAAAAATAAATAGATAAAATAAAGATATTGTGTTCAACTACAACTAAAAAGTAACTATTGAAAACTGGCTGCCAGGTCAGGGGCCACTGGTTACCCTGTGTCTTCTCCTCCTCCTCAGCTATAAAGCCCCCATCTTGAGAGGCTGTGTGCCCACGCAGACAGCAAGGCATGTTTCCAAGATTTCCTAGTCCCAAGAACAGCCACATGACACCCATTCTGCAATATTTGAAAGAAATGGCATATTTGACTTCTTGAAAGTGTCTTTAGCTAGGCGTGGTGGTGCACACCTGCAATCCCAGCAGCTCAGGAGGCTGAGGCAGGAGGATCACAAGTTCAAAGTCAGCCTCAGCAACAGCAAGACACTGAGCAGCTCAGTGAGACCTTGTCTTTAAATAAAATGCCAAATAGGGCTGGGGATGTGGATCTGTAGTCGAGCGCCCCTGAGTTCAATCCCCAGTACCAAAATAAAAAAGTGAAAGTGTCTTTAGACTGGGGATGTGGCTCACTGGTAGAGTGGTTTGATCTCCAGTCCTGTCCCCACTCCCCGCCCCTGACCAAAAAAAAAAAAAATGCCTTTAAAGAGGCACATCTTTTCTTCTGATCTCCAGCTATTCTTTCTGCTTGTTGCAATATAGTCTGGTAGCTGGAGCCTCAGCAGCCATGTTGGATCATGAGGCATAAGCTGGATGAAATGATGTTGTGACAGGAAGAAGGAAGGAGTCCAGTTCCTGGTTGCACGGAACATCCTTGATTAACTGCCTCCAAATTTATTTTTCATGAGGAGGAAATAGGGCTCTTTTACTTGTTTATTTTTCAGAGACAGGATTTTACTGTGTTGCTTAGACTGCCCTCAAATTCCTGGGCTCAAGAGAACTTCCTGCCTCAGCCTCCTGAGTTGTGGGGATTGCAGATATGTGCCACCGCACCTGGCAGCCACTGAACTCTTTCCTACAATAAAATCATTTAAACCCCCTCTGGTGGTGTTGACACTGAGTTGTAAGATGAGAGCCTTCTGGTCTTCCACCTGCTGGTTACAGGGCGGTGTCCAGCTCTGCCTGTCTAGGCACTTGCCCGGCTCCTGGGCATTGAGCAACCATGCTAACAACCCGCATCGGGCTGGGTTCTTTCATTATGTCCCAGAAACAATTTTTCTTCCTCTAGTTAAAATTACACTGCAGTACTCTCCATGTAGTGCAAAACAAAACAAAACCTTTGTGTGTGTGCGTGTGCGTGTGTGTGTGTGTGTGAAGACTGTGCCTTTTATTTTTCACTTCCCCTTTAGAAGGAGGAAGAAATAAATCATCAGAACAGAACTGGTATTAGGGATTTGGTCCAAAAAAGAAGCTTCTAAGGAATGTTATGAAGTCCATGTGGGTAAAACTTAATTGTGCTTCTATTTCAACCATGAATGATTATTTGAGTTCAGAATGAGGACATTGAAAAACCATGAATTCTCCCATGAAAAGAGATATTTTTTCCCATGGGCAGTTTAGCTTATTGATATCCAATCTTTGTTTCATAAAAAAAGGCATATTTAGGGGGCTGGTGTGGTGGCTCAGTGGTAGAACACTTGCCTAGCATGTGTGAGGAACTGAATTCGATTCTCAGCACCATAAATAAATAAATGAAATAAAGTTCTACCAACAAATAAACAATAAAACTACAAAGTTTTAAATGACATATTTACCATTTATACATAATGAATGATTTAATTGATTTAGTGTTCTAGGGATTGAACCAGGGTGCTTTATCACTGAGCCACATCCCCAATCCTTTTTTTTTTCTTTTCATTTTTTTTTTAATTTATTTTGAGACTGTCTCACTAAGTTGCTTAGGAGCTTGCTAAGTGGCTGAGGCTGGCCTCGAACTTGAGATCATCTTATATCAGTCTCTGGAGCTGGTATAGGTATGTGCTGATACAGGTCTGGGCCACCATGTCCAGCTCCATAATACACATAATTAAAGACTGAAAAACATTTCTCAAGTCAGCTGTGGTGGTGGCCCATGCCTGTAATCCTAGCAACTCAGAAGGCTGAGGCAGGAGAATTGTAAGCTGGAGGCCAGCCTTAGCAATGTAGCAAGACTGTTTCAAAATAAAAAACAAGGGCTGAAGATGTAGTTCAGTGATAAAATGCCCTGGGTTCAATCTTTAGTAGCGCATGCACACACACACACACACAAAGGGAAAAAATTTCTTATATTAAAAAACGGATGATAAACATTCATATATTCATGCAAATATGTATGTATGTATATATATATATATGTGTGTGTGTGTGTGTGCGTGTGTGTGTGTGTGTATAAAGTGAAACAACTTTTATTTGTGGCTGAATAACTAGAAAATGTAATGAAGCAAAATATCTATCCCCCAGACATGATGGCTGGCTGTATCTAACTTGTTTGGTTTGTTATGTTTGTGTTTTGTTTCTATTTTGCTTTTTGGTTTTTAGATACTTTTTTGATTGTAGATGGATACAATACCTCTATTTTATTTGGTTATTTTTTTATGTGGGGCTGGGGATTAAACCCAGTGTCTCCTGTGTGCTAGGCGAACACTCTGCCACTGAGCCACAGCCTCAGTCCCATTGCTGCTTTTTAAGATGGAAACTCTGAGTCCTTCAGCTAGTTAAGACATTCCTCCATGTTGTAACTTTTTTATGGTTTAAGTTTTATAAACAGTGAAAATGAATTGAAATAAACATATTTATCCATAACCATCTAACACCGACTCTTAAGTGTATGTTGGACTTTCCGCTGAGCTGACCTGGCTTGGAAGCTGCTGTGTTTGTGATGTACAAACAGATCTGGCTCCTAGATTTGCAGGAAGTATCAAGGAGTAAAAATAAGGTGTTGGCACACATCAGGTCACACACCTTTGTGGTTTTCAGTGGGCTCCAATTTTCTCTTCAATGTGTCTCGGTAGTGAGACTCCCTGACTTTCACCTACACTTCTGAGGTTGGAAAAAAAAAAATTCAGCCTCTAGGACAGGGGTCATTGAGCTAATCCCAGCTTGCAGATTCCACTGGAGGTTTGCAGGCTGTGTGAATAGCTGGAGGCAGCAAAGACTGGTGATGCAGAGCCGGGCTTTAGCTGTGTGATGTGAGGCAGGTTAGTTAACATTTCTGTGCCTGGTCTCCTCCTCTGTGAATGGGGATACTCACAGCGTCTAATCTGCCTGGCTGCAGTGAGATTCTGAGTGGATACACTGGGGCTCTCCGGACGTGCGTGGGACGTGGTAGGTGCTGTGTATAATGTTTGCCATGATCATGACGTCAGCTGCCTTCAGCTGCCCCTGCCCCAAAATGGCCACTGCTCTGCAAGTAGCAGATAAGCAAACCAGGCTCCAGAGGGAGGGATTTGTAGCCAGTGGGGGAGGAAATCATGGACTCAAGAACAAAGTTTCCTTTGACATATTTTGAAAATGAAATCGTTCACAGGAGACAACTCTTGGGCCTAGAGAAGATGCCAGGAAGGGAGAGAAAAATGTGGGCTCCTCCCAGCCCGGCAGCAGCAGGAGGGCAGAGCCAGGGACTTAGCTGAGTCATGAGCCGTGTCCTCCCACTAGTGTGCTTCTCCTAGAGATTGTAGGACTGGACGGGACCTGGGACCTGCCAGGGCTCCTGGGTGTTCTGTGGAAACCCTCGAGAGAGACTTCCCCGGGGTCCTCACCCCTAGCCAGTGTCGCCCAGGTGTATTCCAGGTCACCGAGTCCCAGGCACAGCCTCCTGTCTGTCACAGGGCTCTGCAGTGTGTTTCCCTACCCGGCTGGTAATCGCCACCCCCTGGGTGAGCCACACCAGGCAAATTACACAGAAGTGGTAACACAGTTTTTAAAGTAGTTTTTCCCTAATAGGCAAACACACAAAGGAAAAAAACCAACCCTCTATCCTTGTGTAAAACGTGAAAAATGACATACCCACAAAGGAAATGAGAAATCACTGGTGATCCTTGCTGACCTTAGTGAACGGGAAAGGTTCAATCTGGGATTTGGGGGAGGAGTTGGGATGAAACGATACCAGAAGAAGATCAGAGGAAGCCATTTTACACCAGCACTGCGCTCCTGATCACTTCCTTCTCAAACAGGTACTTCCCCTGTTGCGAAAAGGACCTGGATCTTCAAGATAGGGTACAGAGACAGATGCTAATGTGCCTTTAGAGTTCCAGGAGTTAAAAGCACAGGTTTAAGGTAAAAAAGCAAAGCCTAGAAGTTTGGGGTTGCCCCCCGACCACTCCCGCAGAGGGAACCCCCAGACCCAGTTTCCCAGGGCAGGACTGGAGCAGAAGGGCCCTGAGTGTGAGTTGGGCCATGGGAGGACTGTGTGACCTTGGCAAGGCCTTGGTCTCCTGAGCCACCCTTCCCTAATCTCCATTTCCCCTCTCTGCCTCCCAGAGTCCCTTTAAGATAGATGTATCTGTAAAATCGTTTTAACTGTACAATGCAAACATAAGGTACTCTGTGAAGGAGGCATACTTCCAAGCTTTTCTGTATTGTTTGGATCAAAACATTGTTTCCTTGTCTACACTATTTATCTACATGGAGTTACAGTTGTTTGTAAAGATGAAATGAGCGGCTTCCACTAATGGCCTAGCTCGAAGCCTCGGTGGTCTAACCTTAGGTGAATTTACCTAAAATTATGTTTTAAAGATAAGTACCTAGAAACCCTCCCCATCTGCAGGGAAGAGACAGGATGAAGCCGTCCCCAGGTTAAAGCCACCACACTCACAGTTTATGCGTGACACAAACATTTGTTCCCTGGCTTTTGGCTGCAGTTCAAGGCACCAAGCTCACACACTTAATGATAAATGCATCGAGAAGTCAGCATTTCCTAGCCAAACTCCTTCTCATCTGTATTCCATCTCTGGCCAAATTCTGTGGGGCTGGGGCTGTAAATATGTAATGCCTCCTAGGAACACAGGCCAGCCTATCTGGGGGCCCACGCCCAATTGCAGTTCCACATGAAACTTGGAGGCCAGCCAGGGGTATGGCCAAATAATTACTGTGCCAGAACTAGTTCATCACAGGCCCTCCAGAGGTGGGGACAAACCCCTCCACTGTGGACTTGGGCATGGCCGGGGAGGCTCTCTGAGTTTGCCACCCTGGGAGCACCCTACCCGCGGGGGGCAGCAGGAGTCTGTTAAATCTCTCCAGCCCTGAGCTAATTTGGTGCGGGCTCCCTGGATTATGGCCCCGGTTGGTTACTAGTTGGCTTTTCTGAGCCTGCTTTTGGCACAGGTAGGGAAGGAGGAGGGAAAAGAAAATGGTGTAAGCAAGTTTCGAAATCTTAGATCATTTCATGAATGACTCAGTGTTTCCTTTTGGAAAAGTGTAATCATTGGCTTCCATGAATAACTCGGCTCTGAAGACGTTCTAAACATTGAGGAGTTTTTCAAGCTCTCTGAACACAGCTACCCTCCCAGCTTTCATTTTTATAGCTTCCAGAGGAATTTCATTCACTTGATAACGTGGACTTGTTGAAAAATAAACTGTCACACACTTCCTCCTTGGGCTTCCTGTCCTTTCTGAGAAAAGCCTTGAGGTTGTCTTTCTCTTTCTCTCTCTCTTTCTCCCCCCCTTCTTCTTTTGATTTTTCCTTTTAAAACTATTCAGCAACAATGCTGTCACTCTTTTTTTGAGAAACTAGTTATATTCGGCACGAGAGTGGGGTAGCTGTCCTTTATTCTTGTTAGAACCAGACAGTCCTACTGCACATTCCTTTAATGGATAAAAAAAATGCTTAACTAAATCTATTTCAGACATTACCTTAAATTCATTGGAGCACATGTCAATTTTATTTTATTCTTTGAGCAGTGCTGGGGACTGATCCCCACCCCCCACCGATGGAGCTGAATCCCCACCCTCATTTCCATTTTAGAATATCAAGAAAGCCTGGCTCTATCCCTTTGACTCTCTGCACATAAACAATCCTGAAGCTTTAATCCAGGAGATGTTGGTTCTTCCAGCATTAGAACAG